ATTAGCGTTTACGTAAACACATATATTGTTGATTTTACACTCGAGGATCTTCTACAACTTTGGAGAATAGGCGAGAGTTTTGCAATACATATTTAACAGTAAAATTTATGTACATTTCTAAATATAAATTAAATTTAAACAAACATCGATATTAAAATAAATATAGAATAATAAATCCGTCACATAATTCAGCAGGATATATGCTAGTAGTACAGTTATTACTAATTTGATTATCCAAGCTAAACTGGTCATCAATGTATCCATATAGAAATGTGATGTAAAATTTTTATGCTTAATCGTAAAGCTGCAAAATGGGATAGCTACTCAGTGTTCACCGTGGGTATCGAACCCCGATATTTACCATTATAAGCCCCCAACTTACTGCTGCACCACCGGGGGAGTTAAGGAAAATGAAGTTCAAGTTGAGACTTGTTTCATGAACGAACTTCACAAAGAGAAAAGATAGCAACATTAGGAGCATAATCAGCAACGAATAAGATAACAACCTGTTCGTACTTTTTACTTGTAAAACAATATCTATTTATATACTACTAAAACTCTGAAATTGTTTGCTTGTCTGTAATTAAATACAGCAAAAACTGCACACAATAGCTCCATATTTGTAAAATATGTTTCCCTGAAATAATAATAGAAACAGAATAAAACAAGTTTCGTTAAAATCGGGCCACGGGTCACCGAGTTAGCGCCGTTTTTCGGGTCACTTTTATGAAAATTTCTAGCATGAGTAATTTAACATCACACTACCGTTTGCGCTCTTTACGAAACTTTTTCGTTCAAATCTATTTCCCTGTCAAAGTTCCCATCTTCATTAAAAGGCGTAAGATGACAAAAACAAGCTCTTGAAGAATTTCTCAACAATGTGCCTTGGTTAGGTAAGGAAATGAGGAAATTTTCTCAGTCAAAAAATCATTCGCTGTCAGACAGTAAGAAAGGTTTTTCATTTGGTGAATTTCGTAGTATATCAGTTATCAAGCTTTGCTGTTTCTTGCAGTAATTTGAGCAAGTAAGTATGAAATGTTTTCCTGAAATAACTTTTTTGGTTTTCTGATAGCAATTACGTTCTAATAAACCATGAATAACATTACTATTATCTGTTATTTCTTATTTTCAGGCATTTTGAATCAACTGTGAATAAGGTTTGTTCATCACATTACCTGAAAATTCTGACTTCACTTTTTTGAAAAATGAAATGGTCTTTACTTTTACTCCCGATCAACAATCAAATATCTTTTCTTGAATTATGATCAAAAAAGGGATTGAAATATTTAATTAAATTATCTCAAAATAAACCTTCATTTCGGTGCAATATTGAAATTAGCTTGAATTCTTCAGAACCTCTGAATAGTGGGTGACCCAATGGGTCACGGGTGGTCTAGTAATTATTATATATACAGAAACTAATAACATATATTATAATTTTTACAAAGAGTTATACAATTAGAAAATTACATTAATATATTGATAAATGTATTAGCCAATGAATTTAAAATCTATCCAGTTCGTTAAGAGAATGTTTTTTTACATATAAAATTGTTAAATAAATGTGTATAATAGAAACATTTGTTTTTATCATTTAAGTATCTATGTTATACAAACTTCTTTCCTTCAAAATCCACAACACAAAATAAGCTCGTTAAGTTATATTTTATGTGTTATTTACTCATAAAAAGGTTCAAATTTAATGTTCATCACGAACTTTTCGGACAACCGTTGTATATTACTCGATTATTTTAAGAAATAATTATTTCAATGTTAAAGGTTCCACTCCAACAGCACTAGTTAAGCGTGTTGAAATTCTACCAAAGAACATTGATTTTCTTATTATAATCCATGGAGAAAACGAGAGAATATGTGGGTTTTGGAACACATTTTGCCATAACACTAAGGGGACCAGAACTAAATAGAAAAGAACAAGCTTGTCCTTTGAAATTAATATTATAAGGTGCTGATCAAAATGTACTTGTGTCAGTGAAAATATGTGGGATAATGCAAGTTCATGATCAAAATGTGCTCGTTTCAGTGAAAATATGTGGGATAATGCAAGTTGACTTATAATATGTGGGATAATGCAAGTTCATGACCAAACTGGTTAAGATCAGTTATCTGGAAGTTTGTCCTACGCAGACAGTCCTTGAAAGATGTTATTTACAGAATGCTAAGTCAGGGGGATATGGGGATGAGGAAAGATTGTCCATTCGACCTTCACCCTTCAGTCGTCTCAGGACTAGAACTAAGAAGCAGATGATTATCCTGTTGCAGAACGTATTCAGGCGCCGGACCGATATACACTCACTTATTCAGCTTTCAAGAAAGAAATTCCGTTTCTTTCTGCACAACTCTCAGTAATGTTTTGTTTTTTATGAAAAATTTCATAGACATAAATGGCGTAGACTGTGAGTAGAAATCAACCCTCATCAGTCTCATTATCGGGACAATACAACATTCTACCTTCAAACATAATAGACAGAAAACGCATGCGCATATGAACTTCATATATATATATATATATCTGTCGTTTCAATAGTTAAATCATTTGTTTCAAAAAAAGCATTCACTATAAACACATCGGTATTGTACAAGATAAAGGGTTTCGTTGAAGTTCGTTTTACTTACACATTACCTTTTTTCATGTATATATTCGAAACGTTTCAATCATTATCTTATTCTCAACGGTTTTCACTGTCCGGACTATTATATTAAAAGCCTTTCTTCATATTCGTGCACAGATTTTCTTGAATGATCTATTTGTCCCCTACATGCCTTGAAACGCTTACTTTTTTATGAGGCTATAAAATAATTTTATGATTTGGGTTCCATTTTATGTTGGCAAGAAAGTTATGCAGTAGTTGGAAATAAAACTTGGTAATAGCAACTACGATTCTATGCGGATGATATCTCGGATAACGTTTTATTTTCTTAATATGCATGTGAAGTGGCCAGCTGTGTTTAATATGTTGTAATCACTACACTACTCTGTATTTACGTATATTATGAAATTATCAGGATTAACGTTCTACTCAAAGTGCGTTTTCAACGCTATGTTGAACGTGAAAATTCGTTCTTTCAATAACCTTGGCTTGCATTTGCTGTATTTAAGCAACGCAAAAAATTGAAAAGTCCTTTAAGCTTGTTTACACAAGCATTGCTTCTAAAGCGATAAATTAGCTGAGTAAAGCGTTATGAATTGCGATGACTCGAGTTACAAATTCATCACTTTGTAAACAAGTGCTACGATCATGGCGTCCTCTAACGGATGTTAATGTACGTATTTTATCAACTGTAGTTTTTTCTTTGAATAATCTAATTTAAAACATATTATTATGATTACTTATAAACATCTTTTAAAAACACCATCTTTAAGAAAAAGACACCATCTTCGAGAAACAACATGTATATTATTGGATTGACATTTTTAATATGTTGCTGTATGATAGAGAATGCGTCTAAATGAAATTTTATACACTGATCATCATACCGCTGTGCCACTGGGGGGCATGATGAATAGTATAATGCTATAGAATGGTGCAATAAATATGTAGGATAAATAAAATAATGTTATAGAATGGTGCTAGAAAGATGTATGATAAATAATATAATGCTATAGAATGGTGCTATAAATATGTAGGATAAATAAAATAATGTTATAGAATGGTGCTAGAAAGATGTATGATAAATAATATAATGCTATAGAATGGTGCTATAAATATGTAGGATAAATAAAAAAATTTATAAATGGTGCTTGAAAGATGTAGGATAAATAAGATAATGTTATAAAATGGTGCAAGTGACTTCACAGGAAAAAACTGGACATTTAATAAAATGGTCAACTTACTTGTACGAATTATACTGGCATTATAAGAACCCTTACAGGTGACGCTAGCCAGAACGATAAATCATTGTTACTACAAGAATGCTGTAAACAAGAAAAAGCGAACCGTTAAGCGGAAAATTTCATTAATCTTTTAGATTTTGTCTAAAAGGTTACCAAGAGTGATATTAAAAAAGTTTAATTATTTAATTTTTTTTTGATTGTTCTAAAGCTAGGCTCATGTATAAAGTGTTACATATTTGTGACAATAAACGTTTTAAAACCACATCACCATTAATTTAATTTTCTTTCAAATTATATGGGAAAAAGTTGGTTTTAGGAACTAAAAACCTGATCTGGTTTGTGATAAAAACAAGAAAAATGAAATAAATTTGTAAACATAAAAAAGAAATATCTATCATTAAAAACATTTTTAGTGAATAAACTGTTGACTCCAAACATTAAACGTCTTATGATTGTACTCGAATCTGAAATATTAACTGTTTTAGTGGTAGAAAATCCGCAAAAGAAATTATGTAACAACGTAAAATGTTAGATATCCTGTTATACACTGAACGGGCATCTTTATCTTTAAAAGTTTTACCAAAATCGAATAAATCCTGGATTTTTTTTTACGTCAGATCCCTGCCACTGATGCCTCTTCTGGTTGAGGGAGAGATTCTGTGTTAATGTAAAACCCAATCTTTCAAGATACCATAAAAAATACAAATACAGAAATAACTGCATTTTGTTGATTGCAATGAATAATATTTCATTGTGACACACACACACACACAAATAAAAACGATAATTTATATGTTTATCAAGCTCAGAGAAGAACATCGAAAGCCTAAGAAAACTCAATCACAGCCCCACCACAGTGACATAGCGGTATTTCTAAGGGCTTACAAAGCTAGAAACCGGGTTTCGATACCCGTGGTGGCAGAGCACATATAGCACAAGTGAGGTTCTTTCAGGCACAAATTGATCTTCAATATTAGAACTTTCACTACTAATTCTTGATTAATAGGGACTTGTTGCCATTGGAACAGGCGTAACCTGGGGTTAGCGTTTCAGGACTATGAATTCGACGTTTTATGATTCATTACTTGTTGCTGCTAAACACACTCCGCAGTTTGTGACCATGGGTTAAAAAAAGAGCATTTCCAAAGTTGGCGGTAGGTGCTTTTGACTAGTTACCTTTCCTCTAGTCTATAAGCTCAAAATCAGGGATGGCTATACGCATATTGCTACTGTATAACTTAGAGCGAAAATTTTAAATAAATAATTTGTTGTTGAATTTGCATTTGCGATGAAATATACATAAAATTGTAACTAGAATACAGTTTTCTGAAAGTAGCTTTTAGTAATGTTATGTATGAACTAGAGTTTATTAAGATTGTTATGAAGAACTTATGAGTTCTTAAAATTAGACCATTATGCCAAAAATATGATATGCAGTATTGGAAATAATCGTGCAAACGCACAGATAATGCACATTCTCACAAAGAATGAGAGATTACCACCAAATGGTCAGTTTATCAGTTTTAATAGATTATAAAAATATAAGAGAAAAGCAAACAACTTGCACAGTACACTAGTATTTTGTATTTGTATTATAAACAGAGCAGCTTTTCCGGTACCATACGTTTATTAATGTATGATTGTGAAATATTGTTCCAAATGTCCTATTCAACTCTCCAGAATTCGACCAAGTTGTTTAGTTGCCATTTGCAGTCTAGCACAGGCCTATCCATAGTTGCAAGTGTTTCATTGGCCCATTTTTCTTCTAGGTTTTAATAGAACTCCTACTCAAAAAATCTTGTTCCTAAAAGATGGCGTGATGGATAAAAATCTGCTTATTCCCGTGAGCAGTCAGTGTTTTATTAATTTTATATAGATCTCCAACATCATTGGCTGAGATGCAGTCAATAATTGTATTGACGATTCAGTATGCTTTACTACAAATGTGCATTGGTATTGTTTGTTTTGTTTGCAGTTTTTGAGGAAGGCTATTTGCGTATGGACGTCCTTACTTTTGAACTGATATACTAGAGGGAAAGATGTTTGTCAAAAACAGCGATAGACAATTATTGTATAATCGAATTGTGGGATATTTCAGTCAGTCTTATAGCGTTCCTAATACCCTATAGTTCGGAGAATGTTTTACGGCAACAGTACGCGAAATATAAACCCTCGTACCATAACTAACGCCATATTTGACTAAGAAACAAGATGAATGAAAGTAAATTGTTGTAAGATCACAGTGTTGATATAACGTATTAAATAATTAAGTTTTATTATCTCAACACAAAGACAACTTTAATGAATGAAACGTTTCAACATCTTTTCATGGGTTAAAACAAAAAAAAAATCACAACTCAAAAATAAAGTAGTCTTCATCTCCCGCAGAAATATAGCTGGTGAACATTCAAATATTACACAAACCTTCCAATAGCTTAAACCGAATAAAAAAAAGAAGACATCTCGATTAAATAAAAAAAGAGATAAAATGTAAAACTGGCTGACCGCTTTAAATGACAAACTTTTTATATCACCACATTTTGTTTATACTTTGTACATGTTTGTTTTTGGTGAGACTATGCAGTCCACTTAAACATTTTAAAATTGCGATTTTTTACACGAACTTATTTATTTGTAAATAAATCTAGAAACAATTGGTTACCACACTGCACAAAACAATTAGGGGGATTTGAAATTTATAGTTTTTATTTGTTGTAAGACAAAAAAGGTAAACACTGTTACTGAGTGGTATCAATCGCCCCCTTTTGTTCACTTTGAAGGAAGTAAGACATCTGATGATTTTTCATGTGATGTGAAAGGCACATGATTGGTCATTCAGCCCACGTTTATATTATATGTGAACATTTGGTAAAGGGGCTTTTATAATTACACAGTTCATTATATTTCACGTCATTATGAAGTATGATTACCATGAAAAGCAAGTCCAGCCTGGCTTCGAAACAGAGTGTTGGTAAGATTCTTCTACTAGAGCTGTTTTCATAGCATCTTTAGAGTTTGTGGTCACTTGATAGAATGTTACACACTTTAGAAAAGTATCTCATGTTTCTTCAACGAGCTGTTACACACCTTACAAAAGTATCCCATATTTGTTTAACGAATTGCGACGTTCAGAAGGATCAAAATAACTGAAATATTTTGGAATAAAAATTACAGGAAAAGTTTGTGAATTTAATAATAGCCTTATATCATATTAGAAGATGACTGAAAGTAGTTTGTTGTTAGTGACCAATTTAGCAGCAAACTAAAGTAAAAGTCATTTGTATCAGCATATGGCAGCACAAAATGGAGTTCTTATAATTTGTGGCATTAATGGTACCACTTTGCTCTGAATAGAAGTGGTTACGTTCATCAATGCTGATTCCTATTCACGCAGCGGAGACAGTTCTCGTGTGGCTTTATGCGAAATTCAAACCAAACCAAACTATACCTACTCACACCATACCTTGGATGGTCCTCGTGTGGCTTTGTAAGAAATTCAAACCAAACCAAACTATACCTACTCACACCATACCTTGAATGGTCCTCGTGTGGTTTTGTGCGAAATTCAAACCAAACCAAACTATACCTACTCACACCATACCTTGGATAGTCCATGTGTGGCTTTGTGCGAAATTCAAACCAAACCAAACTATACCTACTCACACCATACCTTGAATGGTCCTCGTGTGGCTTTGTGCGAAATTCAAACCAAACCAAACTATACCTACTCACACCATACCTTGGATGGTCCTCGTGTGGCTTTGTGCGAAATTCAAACCAAACCAAACTATACCTACTCACACCATACCTTGGATGGTTCTCGTGTGGCTTTGTGCGAAATTCAAACCAAACCAAACTATACCTACTCACACCATACCTTTCCCATCGCCATTTGCTTCACATTGCTATATAAACATTTGGTTGATTTAATTCTGTATTCTATGTAAATAGGCATACCTGTTTTTGTTGTTGTTTTATAAGTTGCATATCATTGGTCCACTGCAGACGAGCTGTTTGGTTTCTTGCTATGAGCAGAATGCTTCTCACAGGTCACCTGGTGTACAGGTTGACCTTGTGAAGACTCTTTTATTACCGTGTGCACATTGAAACTGCTTCCAGTTTCGGAGAAGAAATCCTATAATTTCTGTGAGCCACAAGCGCCGCATATGAGTTATTTGCTTATGTTATTAATCATTGCATGCCTTTTCTAGGTGTCTAAGCAACTGTACCATTGGTTTGGAAGCAGTTCTAATTTCTGCTAGCAAGACTTGGAGATACATGTAGCAATCTGCAATACCTGCTGTGACTGGCCGCCTTCAATTTGTCCGATGGCTCTTTATATGGAAACATCTGACCGCCTTCTTTGTGGTCTAGCCATGGTTCATGGATAAACCAGAGTACTTTAAATTCTTTGATTCACTTCATATAGAATAAACTGTATTTCAGATCACGTGATTTATCATCAGATGCCTAATTTACGTACCAGTATGTGTTATTAACACAGATGCCTGATTTACGTACCAGTACGAGTTATTAACACAGATGCCTGATTTACGTATCAGTATGAGTTATTAACACAGATGCTTGATTTACGTACCAGTATGTGTTATTAACACAGATGCCTGATTTACGTACCAGTACGAGTTATTAACACAGATGCTTGATTTACGTACCAGTATGTGTTATTAACACAGATGCCTGATTTACATACTAGTATGAGTTATTAACACATTATAAATTTCGATTATATTAAGTTCGTTTGTGCAATTAACATTATCTCAACAATATTTCGCAACATTATAACGAAACACAGCGTTAATCAATTCGATTGTTATTTTTCATCGATTCGGATGTATTCGAGTTCGTATATGTATGTATCTCCCGTAGAAAGTTAGAAGCTGAAAAAAGTAAAAAAAAAAAAAATCTTTGAAAATACAGTTTTCGTTTCAAATCAATACTCTCTTTTTTTTACGCATTCATTTACTCGTATTTCAAATTAACGTAATTTTAATTGTCTCAATATATTTTAAATTAGTTGCAGGCATGATTTCATTTTGTAGTTTGGGATCATCTCGTTAAACTCAAGGTCGGTTGGTAAGAAACTTGCAGCCACTTACGATTTATCTGTCTGATATTTCAGTATTTAGTGTTTATGTAATGTCAATTATAAGCTAAATGTCTAAGTAATAAAAAATGCTCTAAAACAGCTTAATTGTTGGTTTTGGGTTTTTTTTTACAGCTAGCAACACCAAGAGAGAAAGAGACATAGTTCCTGTTTTTGCAGGACCTATACCAAATGTTACCGTTCCTTTAGGAAGAGAAGCAAATATCCCGTGTGTGGTAAACGAACTGGGAAGTTATAGGGTAAGTAAAAAATTTCATTAAATGCGATTTTAGGGACATAGTTAAAAGGTCATTAACTTTATAGAATAGTACATTAATGTATAAGTCTTCAATAAGGTTTACATTTACCCTTACTTGGTATTATAGACATTCAAATTTAATTTTTTGGCTTTGTGGTATAACCTTATTCTTTCGCAATATGTGCGAGAAATATGCTCAAATTTGAACAGGTCGCAAAATTTATAAAAAGTTAAAAATTAAAACAATAAATTTAAATTAAAAGTTGAAGCTCAAGTTATAAGCAATTAAAAGTGATAGATGTGAGTTAAACAGCGTTTGCAGATCCAAAAATATTTTAATGAAACTATAGCCATATAGTTGGTTCAGATTAATATTTCGTTTCTAAGCGTACGTTTCAACATCAAAGGAAAACAATAATTGAAATAATATTTTAAGAATTCTAATAGCACTTCAAAAATAAATAGTATGGTGTTTTCTGAAGATGTAATCTAAAAACACGAATAAATAGACAAGATGTAATTCAAAATATATAAGAAACTGTTCTAAGAATTAAGGTTACAATATGGTGAAATAAAAGGGATTCAAAACCCATAGATATTATACACATTTCACCATTATAATAAGCTTAATAGTATTTATTTGGTTTGCTGACCTAAGCTGTGCTGAGAAGCCTTAAATAGGCGAAACTGCAAACCACAGCAGAGGGAACGGCCAATCAAAGAATGCATTAGGCACCTACGTTATAGATTCCCTTTTCACTTTCTCCTCTGGTGAAAAAAAAAACAGATCTTTAATATATATATAAATCATTATTAAACAGTTTGTCCACCGTGTAATATCGCATAATGAATTCGGCGAAATGTCATGACATTATTCACACACCTAAATTAACTTCGGTTACTGTACGATGAAGTAAAAAGGATTCAAAACCCCATAGATGTTTTAAGAATATTCTAAGCCTGTACTTGACGTGCAGGAAGATTAAGATAGACTAAGAATTGAGAGATGTATAGTTTGTTCCATCCAATTATTATTTGTTTTTAATTTAAATTATGAAATGTTTATAGTTGAATTTTACTGCATATCTGTATTTGGTTTTAGAACAAAAAGAAATATATTAAGTCTAAGTTGAATGATTTTATGGAGAAAAATGGATAAACATTTCAAACACTGCTTCTTCATTTAACGAATCCACACATATCAATCCTCTTTATCTTTCTTCTTATTTGACATTTAGGATTTTTAAATGTTAACCAACATGTAGCAACTTGTTAAAACTAACGTTTAACTAATATTTGCTGATATTTCGATCATATACATGATAGTTTATTCTAATACGGCCATAAATGATACACATAAAGGAGTTACAAACAATGAGATGGTGAATTTATTAATGGTGCAAAACATTAACACCAAATATCCAAAAGAAAAGCGACTAAGTTGTAAAACGTACTCGTATTTTGCCTTTGGCTTTACGTAGAGAATTACACCTTGTTTTCATGCTGACATAAATGAACGATTACTGAATGTTGTGTTTGTTTTAGTCCCCATTATTCAGCCAAGTTGTTTTGTTGTCTTTTAATGTACATTCTTAATTATTACATAAGCCAACAGATCAAGCCATGGTTGCGAGGGTTCCACCGCTATCAAAATATCTTGTCAACACATTTGCTCTATGCTTAGGAGCTTGGGATCATTGATTTTCTTGCTGGGAAGCGAATCCTTGCTTGATGAATAGCGTTCCTGGGGGAATGGCATGATGAATTAAAATCATACTATACTTGTAAGTAGTTAGGGTGATATTAATTTTGTGTATATCGATAACACTGTTGACTGAGACGTAACCGTAATCTTATACTGATCTACTACGCTTTATTGTAGATGTTGTATATTCGTTACGATGCCATTCTTCTTTATCGCGTCGAACAAATTGTAATTAATTGTTGCTGAAGGATTTGAAACCGGATTCATCTGTATTAAGCATGCATGTTCAGCTTTACGCATTCCACTTTATGATCCGACACCTGTTTCAACTTTATGATTTTGGGTTCTTCTACTCAGCAGCGGTTTTAAATCAGTTACTCGTTCATTAGAACATTTTGTGCTAATATGTATATATCTTACATTCTTAAATTAACATCCACACCTGTAATTACAGATAGGTTATTGGCAGGATATGTGCTCGACTGTCATCTATCTCATAAAGAACGTACATCGACGTACTTAAAATCACTTTTTGAGAGTCTTTTTTTAACTTTTACCACTTCTATTATGATTAGTACCAATTTCTCCACTCTCTCTTCAGACTCTTGCATACAACTCCCACGAATGAAGGTGGAGTATTTCTTCAATTATTCGCATGAAGCATCCTTGAACAGCCAAAACATTGATTTATACACGCTTATCATGCGGTATTTCAAATGCTGAAGATATACTGGATTTACACTGTTACTACTGGGCACACTATGACTGCCTCTACTTTTACAGACTTTATACCAGTGTGGAACTTTCTGATTGGTTGGATGCAGGTTATCTACGCGAGGCTGTACGCTGTTGCAGTTCATCTTCACATGATAAAGTGGTGGCATTTCCATATTATGCCATTTTCCTGACCGTTTCCATAATTATTTTCAACGCTGTATATATTTAAAAGGCAACTTCGTCAAGCACTTAATAATTTCATAGTTTTATTAATTCCATCATGCTTTATTAAAATGACTGTAAAAGTATACGCTTAATGGGCCTCCTTTTTATAAATATCTGAATAACATTTTCTAATTAAATGTTTCATTTACTGTTCATATCACGATATTTACTGAATAAGTTGGAAGGGATTGGAATGGTCATTAACTTCAAACAGTACTTGAGCTTTAGATATACAGGGTGTCCCTAAAGTCTGGACACATAGGCAAAAATGCAGATTTTCAAGAAATGAAATTTTTAACAACATGTTATTCAATTGGAATATTAACAAATAACATCTTCAATATGATTTCTGTGAACACATCTGAAACAAGGTTGAAGGAAGATTTAAAGCCTACCTTATCTACTAAATACTCTGTGAAGGAAAAGGAATGGGCAAAAACTTCTTTGAGCTTCATCCAGAACATAGCATAATAATGTAAAATAATAAAGCATATGTTAACTGTTTGAGGTGGACATTTTATTAAAGCCATATTTAATGTGTGGAGGTAATAAAAAATATATAGTTAATGAGATTTCCTGTGTGTCCAGACTTTAGGGACACCCTGTATAGCCAATACTATTTTCCTGGAGGTTATTGATGGGTGTCATGTTTTTTTTTAATTTTGATTATATCCTATTTTCTAAATTTGAATAAATAAACCCGAATTGATGAATACACTACGGTTCAATTGTTGTCAGTATTTAGTTAGCGAGAGATGTGTTGCAATAACTTAGCAACTTCGAATGTTTTTAGTTCACTATTTAAAGCACAGATCCTGCTTTCCTTTATCGACTTGTCAACCAGAACAGTTGTCACATGTTAATTGATAAGTAAATTCTGTTCGGTAAAGAAATGCTTTTCTCGAAACAGCGTAACAACTCAGACCATTAGATTGGCATATATATAAACACACATACACACCCACACTAGCATAAAGTATGTAATAGTAAAGGAAGTCATATATATATGTATGTGTGTGTGTATATATATTGGTATATAACAAAGTAGGTTAGTAATTGACGAGTTAATATCTTTCAAGTATTGATAATTCTGATTTATTACATGATGAGAAAGGTTTAATGTTGTAAATAAATATTTTATAAGATAATGGAGTTAGTAGTCTAAAATTCACACAGAGTAATATAATTATCCGTCTTGAACTTCACACAGTAGTGAAAATGTCAGCTTGTTTCACAAAGTAGAAGATTTTAACATGCATTTGATGTAAGAATATTTGAAAATTAAGTTTCAGCATGATTTTATAAAATGATTTGACATTCAGTTTTCTTGGTAGTATTTATTTATTTTTTGTTGTTGTTCTTTAATGAAAATAATAAATCAGGCAGCTTGGATTCGGGTGGAGACGAAAGCAATTTTGACCATTCACCAACACGTGATTACAAGAAATTATAGAATTAGTCTTAGCCACAGCGACAACAGAAACTTCATTCTACACGTCAAAGACGTCAAAGAGTCAGACCGTGGAGGTTACATGTGTCAGCTAAATACAGTTCCCATGATGAGTCAAATTGGATATTTAGACGTGCTAGGTAAGAATATTCAAACTGAACAATACAATATAAAATATTCTGCTTGTTCTATATAAGAAATATGAGAAACAACGTGTTTGGTGTTTTAAGGTTTATATATACATATATAAATGTTATGTTGTTCAACGAACATTGAAACTTCGACAGTACTTAAAGCTAACAGCTAGTGTTTATGTGTTCTGTAAGTAGGGTACATCCTATTTTTCTTTTATGTTACTTTCATTAACAGTATTAATTTGAGTGTTTAATATATCTAATTGTATTATTTTTCATTTTCATTTTTTTATTATTCTTTTATTATCGGGATTTGTTTGCCTTTTTAGTTTATTAGGAATAGCCTAAATCTCTTAACGTAATCGACTCTTGTAAGATATTATTGGGTTTGTGGTCGAAAATGGAGTTAGCAATGAAGGTATTCAACAAATGAAAAATGTATTCTAATCTTCATAAGAAAGAACACAAGGAAAGTATATTTCAATAACTATGCTCATTACCTGGTTGATTTTTGTTTTTGTTTCGCTCTAAGTAGGTAGCTTGCTCTGGTCGGACGTTAACATTAATGAGTAAGAAGCTCGTGTGTTTACCTTTAACGGGAAGGGTAACTGATAAGCCAACAGAATTCTACGTTTTAGTGAATAAATAGTATAAAACTTAATATGTTTGTTTCAGGAAACACTGATTAGTGCAGACTGTGTTATGTTTAGTCGGGTAAATTAGGCTTCATTATGCAACACGTTGTATATAATAATGGAAACATTTTCAGTTTTTGTGCAGTATATGCATGATTGAATATTTCGATTTGCAAGGTTAGTAAAGTTATAAGACAACGATGTTTTAAACTACATTAAGAAATTGTAGTTAAACGCATACACCTCTCACGTAAGTGTATAGATCGGTCAGAATAATATCAATAATTGTTAGTTAGGTGCATCGTACTTCAGATATTAGTATTATTCAGACTAGTCTCCTTGTCGAAAAATATGGTATTTCACCAACAATTTCAAGATCTCTTAATAATTCTGGTAAACTAATGTTTTGAAAACACATTTGTGCAAATCGGTCAACATGTTGTCCAACAAATGTAAGAAATACCTATGGGTGTTAACTTCAGCTCAATAGTTGCAGATTGGTGTGTATTAAAACTTCAGTTTATATACATAACTAATATTAGTATAAGAACCAAAATAAAACTTTGTGTATTAGTCATACTTGAAGATATATTCATGATACTATATTACCTAATTAATAAGGTTTTACTGACACGATCAAACCAAATTATCCACCATAACTTACTTTTGTAAAAAGCTTTTATACTAAAAACGAAACACATTGCCTGGATTTAGATATTAGCATCGTTAATCAAACATCCAAGATCAAAAATTTTTCAGTAAAGCAGATATTTTTAACTTTGAAGTTATAAACTTTCCATTTTCAAATAGAAATAGTCCAAGTAAGTTATGTTACAATGTTTACAGCTTACAATTTATTAAATACAATAGAATTTGTTGTGTTTTACGTAGATAGAGCTTGTAAATTCTCTCTCATTTATCACAAACAAGAACTTTTAGTACCATATTCTGAACACAAAATTCATTCCTTTTTATGGGAAAATCTACACCCGTATCACTAAACAATAATTTGCAATTCACAAAGTTACTAAATCACTTATGAAACCACTTAGCACTATTTAAAGACAACTGCTTTTGGAAATACTGAATTGACAGCAAGGTGATCTGAGTGTCTCCCGCCATAACGCTTTCTATGTGCAAAATGTCCTCATGTTTGTATGTTTATTACAAAAGAAAAATATTACAAAAAATGGCGCAATAATCATTAATTGTCAATTTTGTCATTAAATACTACACCAAATACAAAATAAATAGACCATTAAATTTCTTGTAAAAAACTGGCTATTATGAAATTATTTTAAAACTTGTAAGTTCAACTGTTTGGTTTCCTATGGCGAACAAAATAAACAAACTTCTTCTTTTATAGATAGATAGATTCTTTCAGATATTGTTTTTATCATCTTACGCCTTTTAATGAAAATGGGAACATTAACAGGGAAATAATATAATAGCCAATGCTCGGCGAAAGATTTTCGTTTATAAAATGTTGTTGTTGTTCTCGACTTGCTTTTTATTTTATTACCTCGTCTCCACAGTTACTATTTGCAAATAGTCAATAATATTGTAGGTCCATTTTATTGTTGTTCTTTCTACGCGCCGTTATAACACATTTTCATCTCATCATTTAATTTATGTTCTGCATATATTGTTGTATGTTTATTACAAAAAAAAAGGCACAATAATCATTAATTCTCAATTTCGTCATTAAATACTATACCAAATACAAAATAAATAGCACCATTAAATTTCTTGTAAAAACTGGTTATTATGAAGTTATTGTAAAATTTGGAAGTTCAACCATTTGGTTTCCTATAGAGAACAAAATAAATAAATAAACAAACTTCCTCTTTTATATATATATAGATTGTTTAAGGTTAATAATGAATTGTTTTAGGATACTGTTTAAAGTAATAATTAATTACTAAAGTATATTGTTTAAGGTAATAATGAATTGTTTTAGGATACTGTTTAAGGTAATAATTAATTACTATAGTATATTGTTTAAGGTAATTATGAATTATTTTAAAATACTGTTTAAAGTAATAATGAATTCTTTTAAAATACTGTTTAAAGTAATAATGAATTCTTTTAAAATACTGTTTAAGGTAATAATGAATTACTATAGTATATTGACCTCCATAGTTTTATCTCTCGTTAGATTTAACTCTTAACATAGTTAACACCAGCTGCGTACAGTTCCCTATATAATATAGCATCACTATTTTTCCTTTGTCTCATTATTGTTGAGCTTTTCGAATCTTGTCACGCTTACTTTACTATTAGTTCTGAGGATTTAGTTTTACTTATTACCCTTATTACCCGCGCTACTTATTTTCTGATGTAATAGAAGTTATTTTAAGTCGGATTAGTCGCGTTAGACACACATCATAGTATGTTTAGTATATTAACTTTCTGTTGCACTTGGTTATATTTAATTAGAGTACTAATTTTCTTGCTATTTATTGTATGATTTATCTATTTGTTTAATATTTTCATTTATTAACGCTTATTTGTTGTCACTCCATAAACACTAGTATCTAGCTGTAATATCTGTATTATCATGCTACCTGATTCTACAGTTTAACAGTAACTTGTGTCTTAATAACGTCGGGCTACTCTAAAGTTGGGCCTGGCATTGCTAGGTGGTTAGGGCGTTCGACTCGCAATCTGAGGGTCGCGGGATCGAATCCCCGTCCAACCAAACATGTTAGCCCTTTCAGCCGTGGGGGCGGTATAATGTGGCGGTCAATCCCACTATTCGTTGGTAAAAGAGTAGCCCAAGAGTTGGCGGTGAGTGATGATTATTAGTTGCCTTTCCTCTAGTCTTTCACTGCTAAATTAGGGACAGCTAGTGCAGATAACCCTCGTGTAGCTTTGCGCCAAATCCAACCAAATCAAACTACTCTAAAGTTATTCCACTAGGGCCTTTTAATAGAATTTCATTGGTTACAAGATGTTTATTGGGAGCGTTGTGTTAAGATTTGTTTATACTGACATTAACTTCTTCAACAAACATTAAATCTATGCTTGAAGGTAACCACTAATGTTTGTGTGTTCCGTAAGTGAGGTAAAATCTACTCTTGCTTTAATGTACTGTTTATAAAGTTTAATATATTTATTTGTTATCATTATAATACAGATTATTTTTGCACTATTCCTTTAGCATATATGGAGTTCCGATTAACCTAAATCTCCTAAACTGGCGAGATATTATTCGGTTTATAGCCGAAAATGTCTCTAACAGCCAGGGTATATTACTGATGTAATAATTCATACTAATCTTTATAAGTAAGAGCGTGAGAAGAATATACTTAATTAGCTATGCTCCTTACCAGGTTGATTTGTGTTTTCATTAAATAGGTAGCTTTCTTTGATTGTATGTTAATGTTAATCAATTAACGTAGTATTAAAAAACGTTTAGTTAGAGTTATCAACCAATAAATATAATATTTAGAACTGATAGGCATATTAAATTAACAAAAATACATCAAGAACTGTTAATTAAGTGTGTTAATTCAACGAATATAATGTCAAATACTGTTAGTTAGGTCCATTAATCAACAAAAATAATATAAAGTACTGTTAGTTAGGTAAATTGTCCCCCGGTGAGACAGTGGTAAGTTTACGGACTTATAACGTTAAACTCCAGGGTTCGATTCCCCGTGTAACACAGCAGATAGCCCATTGTGCTTTTGCTATATTACAAGCAAACAGTTATGTGTATTATTCAACGAAAATAGTATCAAATACTATTAGTTCGGTGTTTTAATCAACGAAGATAATAACAAGAACAATCAGGTGGATTAATCAACGAAGATAATAACAAGAACAATCAGGTGGATTAATCAACGAAGATAATAACAAGAACAATTAGGTGGATTAATCAACGAAGATAATAACAAGAACAATTAGGTGGATTAATCAACGAAAATAATAACAAGAATAATTAGGTGGATTAATCAACGAAGATAATAACAAGAACAATTAGGTGGATTAATCAACGAAAATAATAACAAGAATAATTAGGGGGATTAATCAACGAAGATAATAACAAGAACAATTAAGTGGATTAATCATCGAAGATAATAACAATTAGGTGGATTAATCAACGAAAGTAATAACAAGAATAATTAAGTGGATTAATCAACGAAGATAATAACAAGAACAATTAGGTGGATTAATCAACGAAGATAATAACAAGAACAATTAGGTGGATTAATCAACGAAGATAATAACAAGAATAATTGGGTGGATTAATCAACGAAGATAATAACAAGAACAATTGGGTGGATTAAGCAACAAAGATAATGTTAGTTATTTCTTCTTAAGCAGTAGTCACTCAGTGGAACAGTGGTAAGTTAACTTACAACG